GGGGCGGACCGTGCCGTGCCGTGCCGGTCAATGGTGGACCGCAACGGTGCCATCCGGCAGGTACCGCAGCGAGATGGACTGAAGTGGGGCTAAATAAACGAATATTTATTTATTTTACTGCCTAATTGGCGATGTGATAAGAAGTATGCTGGTTACTTCAGTTCGTTGTTAATAATAGACGGGTATGTAATTTGGGATGCCTGACTTCCCGACATGGCTACAACGTCGTGAATCAGGGTGTAGAGATAACGAAAACGAGAAATGATGACTTTCACGCTGAAAGCAAAATGTAATATGGTCTCGGTTCGGGCGCAAAAGAAATCCAGTTTTCAGATAGCACTCAATTCACACCAAGTCTATATCCAGACGGTCTCGCGGATACGTATTCGTGTTGAAAAATTCATGCACTAATAAAGAGAGGCAATAAAACTTACTACACTGTTATAACTTTTTTATAGCCTCAAAGTCAGGCTTCTTCATATATTTTTCTCCATCGGCTTCCTGCGAATTGAGGGGTGTCTGAAAAACGAGAAGTGTTTATTGAAGAAAGCAGTGAAAGAGGGTAGCAGAGAAAAATGCAAATGTGAGAAAAATGTCCGTTAATGAAGTTGTGTAAATAGTACCAAATAATTAGAAATTTAAATGAAAAATAGTATGTAATTACCATTAAAATTTTACGCCTACGCCTATTTGGTGTGCGTAAAATAATAACACACCAAATTTCAGTGGTGATTACATATTTATTGTTTTTTTAATGCGGAAACAATAATAAAAGCTTCCTCTTGCTTTGTTGAACATTTTGAAAGATTTTCAACATTATTTATTAAAAGTTTAATTCTTTTTTACTAAATCCGTAGAATAGAAAACTATCAGATGTTGAAATAAATCAGGGGATGTTAAATGTTATCAGTGAATTGTGAACACATTCATTTCATTAAAAATTTAAATCTATTCGAGTTTATTTAATATCTACGAATTCCATGATATCTTCCGCCGTGTAAACGTTTAAAAATTCTGAATTAAAAAAAATTGAATTTTTAATCAGAACGTGTATCTCTCCAATTTTATTGTCGGGTTTCATCTTGACAACAAATAAATACAATCGGAAATAATTAAAAAGTGTTTCATATAATATATTTATACTCAAATATTTTATAGAGTTCTACAGCAAACATTGGAATTTGATCAAAACATAACAGCTCTACTAGAAGTTTTAATGGCATTTCTGTTAAAATATTTTCAGTTTTTGAGGTCTGGAAAAAATTTTTCAACACTTTCATGTATTTACAGTTTTTTGTTTCTTTGAAGGCCTTGTTTAACGTCTAGTATCATGCTCCGATTGCATAACTGTTCTCTACACCGACAGGTACTAAATAAGTATTCAACGTGATTATGGCCAAATTTAGCTGTACGAAAACGCCGGAATTTCCCCGCTGCGGTTAGGCATGGCGACTGTTTTTAAGCATTCAGTAAGTGAATCACATGGTGCAGAAACCCCTCCTGCGGATTTTGTAACGCAACGGCCGAGTTTTATCCGCTGCCGCTCGAGTTTCGTAAAAGTCTGCCCGCCTTCGGGAGTCTCCGTTTGTCGGATGAGAAAAAACTGTCACCCAACGCTAAGCCATAATTGATGCTGCGGTGCGAACGGACCCGCGGAGTCCGCCGCCGCGTCTGGCGCGGAGCGTTCCGCGTCACATCCGCTGCGGATGTTCCGCTGCGGATATTCTGCTGCGGATATTCCGCTGCGGATATTCCGTTGCGGATATTCCGCTGCGGATATTCCGCTGCGGATATTCCGCTGCGGATATTTCGCTGCGGATATTCCGCGCCGGTCTGTGAGACCTTTTATATTTGTGAATCTTTGATAGTAGTTCTGTTATATTGAGTGACGGCGGTGTTGTTCCTTGCGCCCGCAGGAGCCGTGGGAGGCGTCCCCGGCGTCGGCGCCGCCTGGGGCCTCTGCGTCGGCGGCGGGCAGGGAACACGACACGCTGGAGGTAGAGCTGGCCCTGCTGAAGGC